ACCCTTGGAAACCCTGTACAGGGTCGCTATGGGTCGGAATAGACTAGATGGCACTTAACAACAACAACAAAAGGGCAGTGTTAGCTTGAAAACACATGAGCATACTGGTTTGGCCACTACTGCTTTAATGAAAGACTAATTTTGACTTAAAGCAAGCCATTACATGGTAAAAGTTTCATGCTTTTCATTCAAATTTCAGTTTAGTCAAGCCATATATGTTGTCAAGAAACAGAAAATGATTCAATCTAAGCCTAACATAAAATGGGGGTTTATTGTAAGGATACTTATACCAAGGAAATCTAAGGAAATGTAGGACATACCAGGCTTCATGAAGGTAGTGACGCTCACCAGTTCTAAAGATTTCAAAGCCAGAATTTCTAGGCTTCTCTGGGTCACCACAATTAACGAGACTCAGACATCATTGGCTCCATTTGAATTGTGAGAGAGAGAGTTTGGTATGTTCTCCTTGGGTAAGGTGTGTCTAGCCTGGCCTAATAAATTGAGGCCAACCAAAGTAGTCCTGGTGTGGCACTATGGACTAATGTGCCAGACTGCAAAGCCATTTGAACTGCAAGGTCAGTGGTTCAAGCTCACCAGCTGCTCCAATTTAAATTTATAGAGTGATAGTTTGTGCCACAGTCTGCCCCTTGGAAACCCTATCCAGGGTCGCTATGGGTCGGAATTGACTCGACAGCACTTAACAACAACAACAACAAAGTAGTAAAGGAGCTCTGGTAGTGTAGTGGTTATGAATTGGGCTGCTAACCTCAACGTCAGCAGTTCAAAACGACCAGCTGTTCCGCAGGAGAAAGATGAGGCTTTCTGCTCCCGTAAAGATTTGAAGTCTTGGAAATTCTGTGCAGGGTCTCTATGAGTCAGAACCGACTCCACAGTACTTAACAACAACAAAAAGCAGTAAGGTCATCTAAGCAAACATGGTCAACTAGGCCCAGTCTTAAGTATAGGTAGTAGGTGCAAACAGGCTATCTAAGAAGGATGTATGGCAAGGTTGCAAAGACTGCCAACTCTGTTTTAACGTTGTTAAAAAAAAAAAAAAGCAATTTATACCAAAATATTGTTGAGAAAATTCAATAATAAACTAATATCTGAGTAAATACAACTAAAACAAAATGATTGATCTCTGATAATTTATTTGTGCTCTCACTGTTATTTAATTGCTAACAGAATATTACCTAGGACTCAAGTGATTCTACCCTAAATACAAACCACATAGGTCTATATTTGTCAGGCTACAAAATAATTTTATGTTGGGTATAATTTGATCTTTTACTGTTCCATGGTTTTGCCTTCAGAATCTGTAAAAGGAAGAAAAATGAAAAGATGTGACTATGTTAAAAAATACATTAGTGAGTTATGTCTTTTGTTAGCTCTTATTTGCTTCCCTCTTTCTTCTATTTACTGGATTCCTGTATTCAGTCTGACTTAATGCTGAGGGAATGCATGTGTGGGAAGAATTCTATGGGGAAATAAGACAAATGAATATGATTGTTGTTGTTAGGCACCAGTGAGTTGGTTCCGACTCACAGCGACCCTATGCACAACAGAATGAAACAATGCCTGGTCCTGTGCCATCCTCACAATGGGCTCATGCATGAACCCATTGCTGTCACCACTGTGCCAATCAATTTCACTGGGGGTCTTGCTCTTTTCTTACTGACCCTCCACTTTATCAAGCATGATGTCCTTCTCCAGGAACTGGTCCCTTCTGATAAGATGTCCGAAGGACGAGAGACAAAGTCTTGCCATCCTGGCTTCTAAGGAGCATCTGGCTGTATTTTTTCCAACACAGATTTGTTTGTTCTTTTGGCAGCCCTTGGCACTTTCCATATTCTCCTCCAACATCATAACTCAAAAGCATCAATTGCATTCACTGTTCAGCTTTCGCATGCTTAAGGAGGGCTATTCAAGAACATAGTTCTGATACATTGAGGTACAACCCGTATTGAAGGCTGTGGTCTTGATCTTCATCAGTATTTTAAGACCTCTTCCTTTCCAATAAGTAAGGTTGAACATCTGCATAGCACAGGTTGTTAATGACTCTTCCTCCCACCTGACACCACATCATTCTTTCTCACTTAGTCCAGTTTCTCAGAGTATTTGCTCAGGAGACATATTGAATTATGGTGAAAGAATGCAATCCTGACACACTACCTTTCCTGATTTTACACCACTCAGTATCACCTTGTTTTGTTTGAATGACTGCCTCTTGGTTTATGTACAGGTTCCTCGTGAGCACAATTAAGTTTTCTAGAATACCTAGTTTTTGCAAAGTTATCCATAATGTGTCATGATCCACACAGTCAAAAACCTTTGACTAATCAATAAAATACAAGTAAACATCTTTCTGGTATTCTCTGCTTTCAACCAAGATCCATATGACATCAGCAGTGATGCCTCAAGTTCCACATCCTTTTCTGAATCAGCTTGAATTTCTGGCAGTTCTCTGTCTATATACTTTTTTTTTTTTAGTTTATGGACAACTTTTATTATCTTTTTTTTTTTTATGTTTTATTGTGAATTATAAGATAGTTTACATGGGAGAACATTAGTTTTACATTCATCCTATCATATATCATTTCATTGCCATGGTTCCAGTCCCCTCCATGCATCATCAACCAACCAGAGGGTATACTCTGCAAGCCTGCCCCCTAGTCATCAGCACACAGTCCCTCTCCTTCTCTGGGTCTAAAGTCCCCAGCCATTCACTTTCTCCATGTCATTGTCTCTACCTCCATCTCAGGCGTCACTGTTTCTCTGGGTAGGGTCCCACTCTCCACTCTTCTCCCTTGATGGTCCCAAGGCCCTCTGCTCCTGGACTACAAAGTTTTCCCCTCACCTTATTGGTGACCAATGTGGTCACCAGTCAGAGCACATGTCTGCTTGTGTATTCCCATTGAGTCTCAGTCTTGGAAGGGTCTGTTTACATACTTTTGTAGTAATTTTTGAATTATCTTCAGCAAAATTTTACTTTCATGTAATATTAATGATATTGTTTATTTCTGCATTCCATTGGGTCACCTCTTTTTAGAATGGGCACAAGTATGGATCTCTTTCAATCAGTTGTCCAGATAATTGACTTTGAAATTTCTTGGCATAGATGAATGAGCGCATTCAGTGCTGTATTAGTTTAAAGATTTCAAACTGTGTCCCATCAATGCCATCAATGCAGCTTAGATTTGTTCCTTCAGTACCATTGTTTTGTTCTTTTTTTTTTTTTTTTCATGTTTAAACTGTTTTTTTTTTGTTGTTGTGTGTGTGTCCTGATTCTATAAAGAATTAACTGATCATTTTGTTTTGATGTTTTCTATTATCATTCAATATTTTGCCCATGTTGTTGTTTGTTGTCAAGTACCCATCAAGTTGATTCTGACCCATACTGACCCTGTATAGGGTTTCCAAGGAGCAGCTGGTGAGCTTGAACCACCCACCTTGCAGTTCAAATGACTTTGCAGTCTCTACACATTAGCCCACTGCGCCACACCAAGACTCCATTTAGAATCCTTCAATATTTAAAGTTGAGGCTTGACTTTTTTATCAGTTCTTTCAGCTTGAGAAATGCTAATCATGTTTTTCCTTTTGTTTTTTCTAACTCCAGATCTTTGCATGTTTCTTTATAATGCTTGACTTTGCCTTCTAGAAATGACCTTTGAAATTTTCTTTTCAATTCTTTGTCTTCTTCATTTCTATATTTGCTTTAGCATCTCTATACTGGAAAGCAAGTCACAGTCTCATCTGACATACATTTTGGTCTTTTCTTTTCTTTCCTGTCTTTTTAATGACCTTTTGCTTTCTTCCTGAATGATGTTCCTGATGTCATCCCATAGTTCTTCTGGTCTTCAGTCATTGGTGTTTAATGCATCAAATTAGCTCTTGAGATGGTCTCTAAATTCAGATGGGATATGTTCAAGGTCATATTTTGGTTCCTGTGGGCTTATTTTAATTTTCTTCAGCTTCAGACAGAATTTACATATGAGCAACTGATGGTCTGTTCCACAGTCTACCTATGACCTTGTTTAGTCTGATGATATTGAACTTTTCCACTGTATCTCTCCACAGATATAGTCAATTTGACTCTTTTATATTCCATTTGGTGAGGTCCATGTGCATTTGTTGTTGTTGTTGTTGAGTGCTGTCCATGTGTACAGTCACCTTTTATATTGCTTAACAATGGTATTTTCAATGACTAAGTCATTGTTCCTGCAAGATTCTATCATGCAATCTTCAGCATCATTTCTGTCACCAAGGCCATATTTTCCAACTACTGATCCTTTCTCTTTGTTTCCAACTACATTTCCATCACATTCTAATCACCAGTAATTATTAACACATCTTGATTGCACATTTGATAAATTTCAGCCTGAAGAAGTTGGTAGAATTCTTCAATTTCATCATCACTAGCTTTAATGGTTGGTGCATAAATTTGAATAATAGTAGTATTAACTGGCCTTAGTTCATTGGCTATTTTTAGATATGAAGATAATATTAGGTAACATTAGATATTTTCAAATAGCAAAACTAAATTCTAACCTTGTTCCTGAACTGAATCCTTTTCAACATAGTTTCTCTTTGTTTTTTATTTCTCCCTCTGAATGCTTTACTCAGCTATATTGAATGTCAGTTCCCTCTTTTTCGTGGCCTGGTTTCTCCTCTACACATCAATTCAATTCCATACATTAGCAACCTCCAAAGCCCATGTATGCTAAGCAAATAATCCAAAAAGCTGGGTTATATGAGGAAAAATGTGGCATCAGGATTGAAGGAAG